ACCAACTGTTGACAAAATAACTAAAAACAAGCAATACTTTAGTCTCATTATGAACATATTCATTTTTGTTGTCATTTAAAAATCTGGAAAAAAGATCCTCGGAATAATTTTAACAACAATATCATATGACAATTTCTGCCACCAAAAGGGTTTTGGAAAATTGATATATGACAAAGTGGTTAAGATATATAGAGAATTCCTTCCACACATTGCTAAATATTAGGAATTTCTATTTACAATTCACACAGGTCTCATTCACATATCTTTCAGACATCTCGTTTTTAAGATTAAACAGCAAATCTAATGATCCACTGACAAATCTTGTTTTACAATCAGGAAGTGACCTTGTAGCCAAATCAATGAGTTGCCAAAAAAGTAAAAGCAAATGTCGGTAAATTCAAGCAAACACGTTTCCTGGTTATTTATCTATTTTGGCTTGTCATACGTTTTTATAATTAGTTTCTTCATCTCTTTTGTCTTCTGGGAATTCGGTTAAAATAAGATTCCTACAAGTGTAAGACAGTACAATTGCATAATTTTAAAGGCTTATAATGCCTCAGAAACGAATAATTTTGACTTCTTTTAAGAGAAAAACTTTTTATCATTATATTTTAAAAAAGTTTTTATCAATGGCGTCAGTGACAAACCATTTATTTGTTATTACAAGATGGTTTATATTGCTCTTGTACATAGTAGAATGAATCAAAGGAGCTAAGCACATGCTTTGCGGTTTTGTTAAGATGACATTTTTAAAAGATAATTTCATAAATATTCAGGAGGTACGGTTTCTTCGTAGAATTTTTACACTACCATAACACAACACTGAGACGTGCTCCTGCAAAATGCATTTTATAAATTAAGGTAATATATTAACTATGTAATCTTTATAACCGGAAAAATATAAAATGATAATATACTAATAATATACTTGCACACATAAGGATTTTCATTCAAAAGCCAGTATGCATTACATGCAAACCTACACAGTGTTGGGTTATTAGAAAAGTGAAATCATAAAAGGTAATATTCACATAGGTAATGAATTTTTAGCATCAAAACACAAACTTGACATTGAACAACAGCCTTCTTAACGGTTTAAAACAATTGACCAGAGCTTTTATAAATAATAATGTAGGTTGCTGAGAAATATAGCCTTTTAAAAAAATAAAATAACATAAGGTGCTAGCCGACAGATAAATAGATCTTTGACGTATAGGATATACAACACTTATTGCTTTAAAACATTTAACCACGTCAGGTTTGATCATTTAAAGATACCGCAATGTCTGGCCATTACACTACTTCTAATGGTTTTTATGTCAAATAAAATGCACTTTCCTGTTCAAATATAGTAAAGGTAATAGCTTTATGAGATTTTGAATGCCAGACAATTACTGCCTACTACAGGAAGCAAATGACATCTTCAAGCAAAAAAGTTACTGTCATTATTCATTTTAGTGTTGTTCCAAGTGAGGGTGCAAATATATAATTTATACAGTTGTACGTAGTCGATATAATATTTCTATTGGAAACAATTGTATATGACCATAAAACAAGAAATAAATGGTCTATATAATAGCAAAAACAACTTTAAAAAAGAAAATATTTTATTCTACATGCATTAATTTATCATAATTATATCAAAATGTGTAAAATAACATACATAAAAACATAGACACTTTTCGTTTAATAACAACATGATAGTAAACTTAACGCAATTGATAAAGGATATATTGTTAGTAATAACTGCACTTGTTACATTGTTTTCAATATGCCTTTCAACCATTTTCGCCTGTTTTTAAATCACAGTGCACTAAGTCTTTTGTACTCATTGTAACAATCAACCGAAGTCATTTTATTTCTGTTTTTTGTTTGTTTGCTGGTAGGTTCATGTTTTTGTTTGTGTTTTATTCATTTATTTTTTATTCCATAAAAGTAAAAAAAATAATATAGCCTCACTTTTTTACTTTCTTTTTTGCTTTATGGTTTATTCTTTTAATAATGAGGCTCATTTTTAAAATACATTTCTTTTTTATTATCACTTAGTAAGTTAAGATCTTATTTCACAGAACGTGTGACTTACTTTTCTAATGACAATTTTATTTCTTCAAATGTCTTATTTGAAAAGATTAAAAGATTAAAAGAAATCATTGATAATTACTTCTAGATTTAGCTATTTTAAAACGTTTGTATATAACATTCCTTTTGGAAATAAGCTTGAACTTATCTTCAAATTTATCTTCTTTTTCAATGATTTATAAAGACCACCGTTTACCTTTAACAAATTTTTTACACGTTTAACAATTTTACAAATTAACATATACTTTCGTTATCTCTGCTACAAAAATCGTTAAAAGATGACAAAACATATACCCCTTAATATCACAATGGAACAAGAAGGCGGAAAAAAAACCTTAATGTATTTACAACCCTAGATGATCTATACAAATGGACTTGCATTCCCTAGAGTGCTCATTGGTGAGAGTATAATAAAAATGTACGACGCAAATTATGTCTTCCCCTAGTGTGTTCTGCCAAAACCATTGACATAAATAACAATGTTGCTTACAATAGTCAGTTCAAAAAATAGAAAAAAGCAACGAATAATAATACGATATCTCAAAAAAGTAACTAAGGACGTAAATATTACTTTTTACTTCACATTTCTAAGCGAGACATTTTGTTAATTTCCGTTTGCAATATGGTTTCAAAAGGACAAGGTTCACAAACAGGGCTTTTTAGCCCAGTAATTTTACGAATGCAAAACCATAAAATATAAACGACATCCTACATATTGTACAAGAAATGGCCTATTTTCTATCAAAAAATCACAAAATATCACAGTAAATCGTATTTTAATGTCTAGAAAACACAACTTATTAACCATGCATAATTGTCAAAATAGCGAAATTTAGAACGTTCGCTGTCGTATTTTCCTAAAATAACATATGAAGAGCCACGAGCAACACAAAGTCCTTTTCAGGTAATGATACTTAATATATAACGAAGCTGTGGCCGAAATATGTTGTTGTCGGGTTTGGTTCTTCATATCTAAAAATTATGTTTTCCGACATTCGCTGTTGCTATGGAAATTCGGTCTTAGCTGATAATACCCAAAGGCATGATATTTGGCATGAAAACAATATGTTTGATTTAAAAAATCTTAACTTAACTAATTACTCATCTAGACCTTTAATAAAATTATATAAACTTAGACAGCAACTGATTTATAACATATTTTACGTGTTTTTATTTTTAATCATTATCCGAACTTGTCCTGCCCGAATACGTGGTTGATCAGAAAACATGTTATCCGTGTGTGAAAAACGTTTGTTTATGTCTTGCTAATAAATGAATACTTAAGACAATATAGCATATTGCATTTATGTTTAACCCGCTTCTCGTAAGAAACAGAAAAAATGCGTACGAACGCCAACTTTTTGTTCGAGAATTGACCACTACTATATTCAAGGGAATTAACTCGACATTGAAACTGAAACTGAAAGTAGACTGCTACTGTATTGTTTTTCTCTCCGATCGTTTTCCAACACTTTTTAGCGATGTAGGTGCAAAAACTGGAAACGAAAGGTAAAAACTCTTGTATAATTATATTTTGTGACGATAATACTTTTAAATTCAATTTCTGTATCGAATCAAAACGTTTATTTCGATCTGTCATTTTGTGTTGTTACGGACGCAGACGTTTACATGTCAACTTTTAAAATAATGGAAGAACAGTGATAAATCAATAGTGAAATTAAAATATTTGGTAATGGGTTAAAATATTTGAAAGTTTTACAGAAAAGAGCATTAAAGTAGCATTAAAGTATCGTTTTTAAAGGAGTAACAGAGTGATAATGTTTTTTAAGTGTATTAATAATTTGTTTTGCAGATGGAATAGTCAATGTACTCCATAGCCTAGTGGATGTAATGGGTGACTGTCACCCGATAGGCCGGTAGCTACCCTTTTTTTCTTGTCTCTTTCTTTTTCAACCACTTTCTTAAGTTAATGACAACATATGATGCAAATGCCAGTCGGTTTGTAACAAAGGTAATAAACTACATATATAATTAATTATTATTATTAACTTCAGATTTAAATGCACAGCTTTAATTGAAAATTATTTTATGAGATATATTTAAGTTCAATTCTTATATATGAAATATTGAACATTTCTTAAGTAAAAGAAGATAAATTACATTGTATAATATTATCAACTTAATATAAGTTCATATATTTTCATGTATACTTTATCAACTTTTCATTTTAACATACATTATTAGATGTATTTTAATAATATTGAACATTTCCAGTAGGTCATTTCATAATTAAACATTAGGGATTATAAAATATTATTATTTTAAATAAAACCAATTTAATTAAAATACATTTAACATCTATTGTTGACCAGACTGTTCTGAAGATTATCATATTTCTTCTTGATACCTTATCTCTCATTAAATATGATGTACTGTAATACTGTATTTTTATTCAATATAATGTAGATAGTTTACTGCAAGATTAGTATACAAATGTTCATAATAATTCTTCTATCTTTTATTTAATCACAGAAATATTGCCTGATTAATTAAGTTAATTATAATAAGAACTTAAAAAACTTTAATCTTCAATTATGTTTCCAAAGATTAATTAGTTTATTATAGTTTATTAATAAGAATTAAAAGAAAAACAAACCAGAAACACTTCTCAGACTACTGATTATAGAAAACTGAACTCAAGAGACCCTCAAATTCTTTAAAATTGTAACAGTAAGTCACATTCTGGGGGACATAATTGAAATTAAAGTTAAATAACATGGCTAGAGTTATTTGATATTCATTATGTAACAATTATAATGTAATAATGAAAAATATTTCTTGGTTATCAGAATTCAACTTTTATTCAATCCTTTACTTGTACATTGTACTATACATGTTAAATTGGATATTCTAACTGTATTATTACACATGTTTTGTTGTTATATTTAATTGTGCTTCAGGTGAGATGGGTGGTAGAGGCTGCAAATGCAAGGATCAAAAGGTGGAAGTAACTTTCACATGTTCTTCCAACAAACCAAGTGCCATACATAGGTGATTATGTAAGCATAATTTGTGCCTTATGTAATAAGTACCTGTCACCTATCAACCAAACCCAAGAATTTGACTCAACTTTAGCAAGCCATATGCGGGATAGATTGTCATGCAATCTTTGTCTACAAGATTTTGTGGAAGAACATGATCTTGCTAGGAGAAGTGTAGCCCATTGGACAACTACTGAATCATTGACAGATTTTCCAAAACTGTCAGAAACTATATTGAGAATTTTAACTCTTGGTACTTACCAGTTAAAGCTGAGCTCAAGCTATGTACAGGAGTATATTAGTGGTACTTGTGACTTTCACTTCCACAAGGAATTTCCGGGTCTTCTAAGAGTTAGACTTCAGAGCCGCCATATAACATCAAAATCATATCTTGTATGGTTAAAATATGATGAAGACCATGTAATTGCATGGTATTGCAAATGTAGGGCTGGGGCTAGGACAGTTGGTACTTGTTCTCATGTTGCTGCAGTCATATGGTACCTGGGCATGGCTGTCCATACAGCTGAAACAAGCTTTGGTGTGAAAGACTGGGGTGAGTATTTGGAGGATGCTTCAGGTAATCCAGAATCAATAGACTCTTCAAATTCAGAAGAAAGTATAGTTGAGGAATAGCTTCCTCTCATAGAGTGGTTGATATAATGATATATTCAAATGCAATTGTTCTATTTTCAAATTCTGTACAAACGTCTTTTTCAATTATGTGATTCTGTTGGGTTATATATTTAATAAATATGTCTAACAGGTCATATGGCCATGTATGATTGATTGTTTGCAATATAACCAACCCCTAGTGGCTCATGTTATTTAATCTATCAACTGTTTATATTGAACTATGTACATGGCCTGACAGACATTCTTGTAACTAAAATTATCCTGTAACAATCAGCGTGTCATACTCACTTAGAATATGTTAATATTGAACTAAAAATTAACCATTAAGTAAATAAGTGTTTATAAAGTCAGAATAAATTCCATTCAATATGTTACCCAGTTGTGCCAGATCTGACAGGTTTAAATACAGTAATGCTGACTAATATATTTATAAATAATGTAAATGAATATATACTGTAAATTCTAATTGTATGTTTTGATGTACATATAAGTAATAATGTTATATTGTTTTAGTGATGTTAATCTTAACTTGTACATCCGTAAAAAGTGCAGGATATTAATTTACTGCATAAATCATTTAAACTGTTATTGGAAGCATTTTGAACTATTTACTGTAATTACAATGTATCATGTTTATCTGTATAATATACTTAATCAATGCTCATTACTGTTACTGGTTTATTTATATATTAACTGAGTTACTTTTATTGTCTACTTCTTAGAACATTATGTACCCTTTATCTTTCAATTGCTACAAACGTGTATCTCACCAAAAGCCAATAAAACAGTGTTGCTATGGAAACAAGAAAATTTCCATGCCCTATAAAAGTAAAAACGTTCTGAAAATTAAATGTATACGGTAATTCATAAACATCCAAAATGTTAAAAATCTAACACATGCAAAGTGTCTCTTCATACAACTTATTTTGTGTGAAATGAAACTAGTTTATGTTTCCATGGCAACACTGAAAAAAATACATTCACATTCTTAATCTTGGAACTTTTACTGTAGTAGAGGCTTTTTTTTAAATGTTGACATTATCAATTTTATATCTAGAGAGATGTTAAGTTTGTGTGTCTGAGAATGTTAACTAGCTATTTGCCAATGTTATAAGCAATTGTTAGAAATATAAAAAATGGTGCATTTAACTTGGTTGCTATGGTAACCTAATAAATAGAAAAAATGGCAAAATTGTTCTTGTTTCTTTTTCAACACATAAATATGAATCTTTGCTGAAATTTTGATGAATTTCTGAAACAGGGCTTTTTTCACCAAAAATGAACCTAGCCCTTTTAAACTTATCTGAACCTAAAACGGTTATTAAAATATAAAACATGTCTTTAACTGTCTGGTTGGTAACCAGCAAATGTAAAATATATCAGATCTTTTGCAAACTTTAATAAACTGTGTTCATAATAGAGAACAATTTTGCTAGACATTATGCTGCAGGTTGCATTTATAGTATGTGAAACTGAAAGTCAAACATAAGCAGTGAAATATATATTTGTTATTTCTGATATATGGTGGTTTCGTTAAATTGTACTATACGCATTTTACATAGATCAATAAAATTACATCTCAACACAGTCAGAATACTTGGATAAGTATAAGAAGTGGTGCCAATTTGTTTCAATATAATATGTTACAAATACTCTGTCTTGGAACAAAGAATAACAAGAGCGATCAGTGATGATAGCCAATTCAGCATTTGAATTGAGGAGTGATTGTGATCAGTTTGTTCCCCATATGTCGCGGCGACTAGTTAATGTTTGACAAGACCAAAATCATTACCAAACCAAAATGCCTTTTTATTCAAGGGCCATAACTCAGTCAAGAAGTCATTCAACTTAAAAACCCATTATTTCTGGGCAAGTACTTGGGGTATCAATCAATCCTGTAAAGTTTCATTCAAATTGCAGAAGTAAGATAAGTAGTCAAGACTAAACTAAAAACAAAAATAAATAAAAAAAAAAGGCCATAACTCTGACATTCTATTTTGACACAATGAAACTGAAATAATTTTCCGTAGATAAGTCTATATAAAATACGTAATCCCCGGGGCGGGGTCATTTGCTCAACCTGTGTATTTGACATTATCTCATTGTAATATTTCTTGCAAAAAAGTTTTTAATTTCTTCCTATCGCATTACATTTTGAAATCCAAACAAAGTTTGACAAAGTGTGACATTCACATTAACCTAAGGAAGGTCAAACCTACGCTCTGCATATCGTTCGATTATGGTTAACATTTCTTCAAAAGATAAAGAGCGGACACGAAAGCTGCTAACAGACGGACGGACGTACGACCAGGAGCATATCATTATACGCTGAAGTCTGTTCGGGCGTAAAATGAAAGGGTAAACATTGAGTAGACATTGATCTATCATCTAGTTTCATGTAAAATAAGAACCTGTGTTGAGGCGCTAAATCATTCATGTGTGTGAAAAAACTTTAAGAATAGCACAGTATACGTACTTGTATAAACAAAATTATTTTTACAGGAAAATCTCTTTATCCTGTTTCTGTCTCGCGAGCCTGTATGATTCAATGTGAACCCTGTCTTGCGATTGCAAACACGTAAAAAACTATAACTTCCGATCAATATATCTATCTTGGAAGCTTATACATTGAATTTGAATATTTCGTGCGGTGACAGAAAGTAGATGTGTTTATATACTGGGAATAAAGAATGCGTTTTCGTTCCTGAATAAAATGTGTTCACATAAAACTGATTAGTCCCAACAGCAACACTGAATAATGAATTCCTTGCACTTCGATGAACTTCGTCTTAGTGTTCTGCATTTTACAAAGTAAATGCGTGGTTGACAGATACAGTTGGACAAGATTTGCATTAAACAGATTCATGCATTAAATTACCAGGCAGGACCAATGCACTTAAAAGGAAATATTCATGACATAATAAACCCCATTAGGACAGGAAATTCAGTGTATTAGTTTCTAAGAAGTGTATATATAAAAGGCTTTATGATAATTTAAGGAATGCCATAGATCACTATCTACAAATAGCTACTTGTACTGCAAATAACTTTGATTTATATATCCAGGTACGTATACAAACTACAAACATTGATGTTTATATAGAAATTATGCTTGATTACAATTAAGTTCAATATTTTTCAGAATTTCCCTCAATTTGTAAGACGTTTTCGTTAGATCAGACAAAATAAGATAAGACATGATAGACATATGTTTATTGCAACCGTTTTCGCGCAAGAATTAAAACAACATTTGTAGCCTTATTTCTATATTCTATAGAATCAGTTTAAAGTTTAAAATAAATCCCCACAAAAAGTGGGTGTTGGTTTGATATACAAATCTTATTGCAAACAAACTGAAATAACTAGCGTTGTAATCGGTTTCTTGTACCAGTTGCTGTTTGATTATCTAATGATTAACAACGGAAATGAGATTTTCGCCTTTTTCTGACACTGCTTATTTAAGAATAGTAGGCCTGTCAACATAATGATATCCTGACTAATGTAAAACGAGTCAAAATATGAGGTTTGTTTTTTATAAGAAATAGGACTAACAGTCTGACGTACTTTACTTCAATGTTGTTATATTTTTCTTTTCCTTTGTGATCATTAATTCCGGCCTTTTTAAGTGTTGAACATTAAGTAGTAATCACACTGGTGCTAGGGGGCGTGAGAGATGTTGTATTTTTCATAGTCCCTTGGTACAGACTCGATCAAACAGAGTCTGTAATTTTCATGTAATTATGCCGTTATTGATGCTTTCGAGGGACCACTTTTGTCAAATATGTATTCATTAACATGTACAGGGACCGGTAAATGTTAAATGTCTAAACATAATTAATCGTATATTATCTTCAGAATGTGTAGCCAAAGTAATCATAAATAACCATGGAAACACGGACCCGGCGTAGTCCTTCGAATAAGTTTTTGAATCTATGTTGTACTTCGAGTTTAGTCATTACTTTACGTCTGTTTTACTATATATACCATCAACGCGTTTCATGACACTTAAGTGATATGATGTCAAAATTTTGACATTAAATGGCAAACAACTCAAGTTTTGAACAGCAGTGGTCATTGAGTTAAATTTAGAAATTTGACATCCGTTGAAAACTGGAAATTTGTACCATCGTTTCATTTTGCCAGTAATTGGTGATACTCCAGACAATTAAATAAACGAAGGGCTATAATCGGCCAACAGAACAGACGTTTTGACTTCGCAACAGCAATTATAAATAGAGAAAAGGGAATCCCTAAAGAACACGTTATGCAATTCCATGAAAATCGGTGTTTGTTCCCCAAGTAAGTTTTCGTGTGCCTTACACGAGAAAACAATAGGGGAAACTAAATAAGCAGCAAAAAAAGACACATTTAAATAGCAGGCAACATATCCTAATGGTGATTATACAATATTTAACCACCCAACTATCAGAAGTAGGAAACGGCAAGTGAGAAAGTGGAACATTTACAAAACAGTTTTGAATTTAATTGCAATAGCGATACAATAGGATCGACGAACTGTCTTGCATGTTTGATGTCTGTATCAGGTATATTGAATCAATTATGTCCAAAGAATTGAATATGAGACAGGTGTATTAATCACTACTTTATTTAATTAACTAGCTCTACAAACTTTGAGGTAAGTTGGAAGTTTTTTGACTCGGAGTTACATTAAGTAGCGCCATCTGACCATGCTCTGCGCTTTTCACTATTCAGTCAGTACAAAGTTTTAATTTTTTGTCAAAAAAAACCAAAAAAAACAACAACAACAACAACAAAAAACGAGGATTTTTTTCACAATTGAAATGTTTATAAAGTTATTTAAAATATTTGCGGGATAATGGTTTAGTGACATGATAACATAATCGGGCAGTAGAAATGTTTGCTGTTCCTGATTATAGAATTAAAGTCATTATATGTTACGTAATCACACATAATAATAATAACATCTTTTAGCGAGTTGTTTAACATAAACATAGTTTCGCATTTGTGATTATGTGATT